GAAGCCACTTCTAAAGATTATGCACAAGAAAGCCCACAAACAGTTTGCTGAAGACAAGCAGACTAAGGACATGGATTACTGGAACCATGTCCTGTGGTCTGATGAGACCAATATAAACTTATTTGGTTCAGATGGTTTCAAGCGCGTGTGGCGGCAACCAGGTGAGGAGTACAAAGACAAGTGTGTCTTGCCTACAGTCAAGCATGGTGGTGGGAGTGTCATGGTCTGGGGCTGCATGAGTGCTGCCGGCACTGGGGAGCTACAGTTCATTGAGGGAACCATGAATGCCAACATGTACTGTGACATACTGAAGCAGAGCATGATCCCCTCCCTTCGGAGACTGGGCTGCAGGGCAGTATTCCAACATGATAACGACCCCATAACACACCTCCAAGATGACCACAGCTGAGGGTAAAGGTGATGGACTGGCCAAGCATGTCTCCAGACCTAAACCCTATTGAGCATCTGTGGGGCATCCTCAAATGGAAGATGGAGGAGTGCAAGGTCTCTAACATCCACCAGCTCCGTGATGTCGTCATGGAGGAGTGGAAGAGGACTCCAGTGGCAACCTGTGAAGCTCTGGTGAACTCCATGCCCAAGAGGGTTAAGGCAGTGCTGGAAAATGATGGTGGCCACACAAAATATTGACATTTGGGCCCAATTTGGACATTTTCACTTAGGGGTGTACTCACTTTTGTTGCCAGCGGTTTAAACATTAATGGCTGTATGTTGTGTTATTTTGAGGGGACAGCAAATTTACACTGTTATACAAGCTGTACACTCACTACTTTACATTGTAGCAAAGTGTCATTTCTTCAGTGTTGTCACATGAAAAGATATACTCAAATATTTACAAAAATGTGAGGGGTGTACTCACTTTTGTGAGATACTGTATGTGTGTGTATGTATGTGTATTATTTGTTCAAATTGTTTTTTATTTTAAAAAAAAGTATCAACAATTTTCTGTTTTGTTTCTTTGTTAGACCAGAATGTTTTTAATAGGTTATGTCCATATACTCATCTCTTAAAATGTGTTGACTTGCCTCTCACCATAGCCAGCTAGCTAACTAAGGTATCTAACCTAGCCAGAGATACTTTTGAGGAGATGGGAAACTCCATTGGAATCGTATTAACACCCATTGTGTACATTGCCCATTTCTTCAATGGGCTGCGCGGTGCATTCTGGGCTATTCTGGGACAAGGAGATCACTCCTTCAAGGAGAGAATGGGAGTCAATTGGGTGCTAGCTCACAAACCCAACATTAGCATGAATTTCATATAGCATGAATTGTGGTCCTCTGTAGCTCAGCTGGTAGAGCACGGCGCTTGTAACGCCAGGGTAGTGGGTTCGATCCCTGGGACCACCCATACACAAAAATGTATGCACGCATGACTGTAAGTCGCTTTGGATAAAAGCGTCTGCTAAATGGCATATTATTATAAGAAGTACAACGTTACAAATATAAGTGTGAGAATTCATTTTTTCTCTGTAATATTGTATAGCATTGGAAGGGTGACATTACATACTTTCGAGGACAATAGACCGGTTTCTCGACTCATACCGACTTTGAGAAGGGATTGCGTAACAATTAGCTTAGCAACTGTGTGACGCAGCATGACAACGTGAACAGGATTGGTCGACCGACTGCTGGGTGAGGCGTTATATGTTCCTCCATTCACCATGGGATTCCGATCTCCTCCTTTCTCTAATATCTCTGACCTAGCTAGCTACACGTACTAGCCATCATATTGCTAGTAGCTTGCAGCAAGCACTATGCCCGATCTGTCTCCCCGTGTCTCCTCTCGCAAACTCCTTGCTGTCCTAGCCAGCATAGCAAAGATGATCTATATACAGTGGGGGGAAAATTATTTAGTCAGCCACCAATTGTGCAAGTTCTCCCACTTAAAAAAATGAGAGAGGCCTGTAATTTTCATCATAGGTACACGTCAACTATGACAGACAAATTGACAAAAAAACCCCCAGAAAATCACATTGTAGGATTTTTAATGAATTTATTTGCAAATTATGGTGGAAAATAAGTATTTGGTCACCTACAAACAAGCAAAATTTCTGGCTCACAGACCTGTAACAACTTCTTTAACTTCTGTATTAATGGCACCTGTTTGAACTTGTTATCAGTATAAAAGACACCTGTCCACAACCTCAAACAGTCACACTCCAAACTCCACTATGGCCAAGACCAAAGAGCTGTCAAAGGACACCAGAAACAAAATTGTAGACCTGCACCAGGCTGGGAAGACTAAATCTGCAATAGGTAAGCAGCTTGGTTTGAAGAAATCAACTGTGGGAGCAATTATTAGGAAATGGAAGACATACAAGACCACTGATAATCTCCCTCGATCTGGGGCTCCACGCAAGATCTCACCCCGTGGGGTCAAAATTATCACAAGAACGGTGAGCAAAAATCCCAGAACCACACGGGGGGACCTAGTGAATGACCTGCAGAGAGCTGGGACCAAAGTAACAAAGCCTACCATCAGTAACACACTACGCCGACAGGGACTCAAATCCTGCAGTGCCAGACGTGTCCCCCTGCTTAAGCCAGTACATGTCCAGGCCCGTCTGAAGTTTGCTAGAGTGCATTTGGATGATCCAGAAGAGGATTGGGAGAATGTCATATGGTCAGATGAAACCAAAATATAACTTTCTGGTAAAAACTCAACTCGTCGTGTTTGGAGGACAAAGAATGCTGAGTTGCATCCAAAGAACACCATACCTACTGTGAAGCATGGGGGTGGAAACATCATGCTTTGGGGCTGTTTTTCTGCAAAGGGACCAGGACGACTGATCCGTGTAAAGGAAAGAATGAATGGGGCCATGTATCGTGAGATTTTGAGTGAAAACCTCCTTCCATCAGCAAGGGCATTGAAGATGAAATGTGGCTGGGTCTTTCAGCATGACAATGATCCCAAACACACCGCCCGGGCAACGAAGGAGTGGCTTCGTAAGAAACATTTCAAGGTCCTGGAGTGGCCTAGCCAGTCTCCAGATCTCAACCCCATAGAAAATCTTTGGAGGGAGTTGAAAGTCCGTGTTGCCCAGCGACAGCTCCAAAACATCACTGCTCTAGAGGAGATCTGCATGGAGGAATGGGCCAAAATACCAGCAACAGTGTGTGAAAACCTTGTGAAGACTTACAGAAAACGTTTGACCTGTGTCATTGCCAACAAAGGGTATATAACAAAGTATTGAGAAACTTTTGTTATTGACCAAATACTTATTTCCCACCATAATTTGCAAATAAATTCATTAAGAAATCCTACAATGTGATTTTCTGGATTTATTTTTCTCATTTTGTCTGTCATAGTTGACGTGTACCTATGATGAAAATTACAGGCCTCTCTCATCTTTTTAAGTGGGAGAACTTGCACAATTGGTGGCTGACTAAATACTTTTTTCCCCCACTGTATACAGAGGTATTCTGATCCAGAAATACTTTAAGAAATTAAGTGTTTCTGGCTGAGCGTAGCTAGCAAGCCCAGGCAACCTCTTCCACCTCACGTTATCAATACCCCGTCCATCGTGTTTGATTGACAGGTCTAACACATCGAAAATTAAAACGCAAAGGCGCAATGTGGAAATCAAATAGCAAAATGAAGCATTGCGATTGATTTATTAAATTTGATTGATCATTTGAATTTTGACAGTCTTAAACCACACAGAGTATGGAAAATAATTTCCAATTGCAACTGAGAATTCATTTTGTTTTTGTCACAATTCGTGCTGTCACAACAAGGAAATGAAATGGCAAATATGAGAAATGATTTGTCATTTAAGCATTTACGTTTACATTTCATTTTTAAATGTGTCAGTGTTGTACTGGATAGTACCATGGAAATTAAATATTAAACACACTGCTATTTCTTTTTCAAATTGGCAGGCATCATGCATACTCAATCATGAAAATTTTAATGCAATATATTACATTGAATTTGAATTTTGACACAAAAAATGCATACCCATTTAGAAAAGGAATTGCAAACATTATATTGATTTTATAATTTGCCCGTTTAGAATTTAAGGTTGAATTAAGTCACTCATAGACTTCCATAGTGTATAGGCTGTTACTATGGCCAAACATACTGGTCAAGGCCAGCCAACAGAACATTTAATGGTTTCAGATTGGTTATTTGTTTGTTTATTTGGCAATGGCTTAAATCCGAATAGAACTCAACATTTTGCATACACACACACACACACACACACACACATCTCTCTACACACACTCCCCAACCATACATACACACACAATATACCCTTTTCTCCTAAATGGAACACAAACAAAGCAGAGTGACGCTAGCTTTTGGAACCATGCTGTCTCACTTTGGTGTACCACCCTCCACTGCCCCATTCCTATTCCCCTCCCCCTCCCTATATGTTGCTGGTTGTGCTGTATAGTTTGCCGGGTGCCCCTCCCAGGTTGTGGACCATGTGACCATGGTCATGTGCATCATCTGCATGCTAAAGCGCATCATAATTCCCCAGCAGCAACAGCAGGGCATCAAGACCACCTATCAGAGAATGTGGTGCTACCAGCCGCATTGCTATCAATTACAGCCTGCAAGTGTGTGTTATGGAACAATGTTCACTTGATTTTTGGAGGCTCTTGTGCTTGGTACCGAATGTGTGTGTCTAGTACATTATTTTGCAGTGGACTGTGTTGTGAGCATGTTTTTATCATGTTCAGTATTTTGCAGGTATGGTACTTGGGATGTATTTTTATTTGGCTTCAGGGATGTCAGTCACACAGTTTGGGATTGATTTCAATTTAGGAAGTGAATTCAAATCCCAATCTAAGAATTGAAAGAATTAATGAAAATGAATCGTGCTTTTCAGTTCTTGAAATGGAATTTCAATTCATCTCCCAAACTGAAATGGAATCCAGCCCAACGTTCCTCAGTCTACCCCAGGGTACTAAACATGTGTTGTCTGGTTTGCAGGGAGTATCTACTCCAGTCCCGGCCTGTACAGTAAGACCATGACCCCCACCTATGACTCCAGAGACGGCAGCCCCCTGTCCCCCACCACCGCCTGGTTCGGAGACAGCCCCCTGTCCGAGGGCAATCCCAGCATCCTCGCTGTCAGCCAGCCAATCTCCTCGCCCGATATCCTGGCCAAGCTCTACAAGCCCCAATCCCTCCTGGACAAGGCCAAGATCAACCAGGGCTGGATGGACTCATCCAGGTCACTGATGGAGCAGGATGTCAAGGAGAATGAGGTGCTCCTCCTTCGGTTTAAATACCACAGCTTCTTCGACCTCAACCCCAAGGTACAGTATGTGGACCGTTTTTTCCATCAGATTCTTTATTTATATATATATATATATTTTTTAGGGGGTAGATCATCTTTAATATTGCATATATATCGTGGCTTCTATCAATGTAATTGTCTGCATCATTTCCAATCCCCCATATATTATATATATATATATCGATATATAGATAATATAGTATATAGATATATACCACATAGATATATATTATATATATAGAGATATATATATATACACATATATATATAACACATATATAGAGATATATATATATATATATATATAGATATATATTATAGATAGATATATACACATATATATTATATATAATATACATACATACATCATACAATACATACATACATACATACATACATACAGTGAGGGGAAAAAGTATTTGATCACCTGCTGATTTTGTACGTTTGACCACTTACAAAGAAATGATCAGTCTATAATTTTAATGGTAGGTTTATTTGAACAGTGAAAATCCAGAAAAAAACGCATGTCAAAAATGTTATAAATTGATTTGCATTTTAATGAGGGAAATACGTATTTGACCCCCTCTCAATCAGAAAGATTTCTGGCTCCCAGGTGTCTTTTATACAGGTAACGAGCTGAGATTAGGAGCACACTCTTAAAGGGAGTGCTCCTAATCTCAGTTTGTTACCTGTATAAAAGACACCTGTCCACAGAAGCAATCAATCAATCAGATTCCAAACTCTCCACCATGGCCAAGACCAAAGAGCTCTCCAAGGATTTCAGGGTCAAGATTGTAGACCTACACAAGGTTGGAATGGGCTACAAGACCATCGCCAAGCAGCTTGGTGAGAAGGTGACAACAGTTGGTGCGATTATTCGCAAATGGAAGAAACACAAAATAACTGTCAATCTCCCTCGGCCTGGGGCTCCATGCAAGATCTCATCTCGTGGAGTTGCAATGATCATGAGAACGGTGAGGAATCAACCTAGAACTACACGGGAGGATCTTGTCAATGATCTCAAGGCAGCTGGGACCATAGTCACCAAGAAAACAATTGGTAACACACTACGCCGTGAAGGACTGAAATCCTGCAGCGCCCGCAAGGTCCCCCTGCTCAAGAAAGCACATATACATGCCCGTTTGAAGTTTGCCAATGAACATCTGAATGATTCAGAGGAGAACTGGGTGAAAGTGTTGTGGTCAGATGAGACCAAAATGGAGCTCTTTGGCATCAACTCAACTCGCCGTGTTTGGAGGAGGAGGAATGCTGCCTATGACCCCAAGAACACCATCCCCACCGTCAAACATTATGCTTTGGGGGTGTTTTTCTGCTAAGGGGACAGGACAACTTCACCGCATCAAAGGGACGATGGATGGGTATTCCAGCATGAAATGGCCCAAAACACACGGCCAAGGCAACAAAGGAGTGACTCAAGAAGAAGCACATTAAGGTCCTGGAGTGGCCTAGCCAGTCTCCAGACCTTAATCCCATAGAAAATCATCTGTGGAGGGAGCTGAAGGTTCGAGTTGCCAAACGTCAGCCTCGAAACCTTAATGACTTGGAGAAGATCTGCAAAGAGGAGTGGGACAAAATCCCTCCTGAGATGTGTGCAAACCTGGTGGCCAACTGCAAGAAACGTCTGACCTCCGTGATTTCCAACAAGGGTTTTGCCACCAAGTACTAAGTCATGTTTTGCAGAGGGGTCAAATACTTATTTCCCTCATTAACATGCAAATCAATTCATGACATTTTTGACATGCGTTTTTCTAGATTTTTTTGTTGTTATTCTGTCTCTCACTGTTCAAATAAACCTACCATTAAAATTATAGACTGATCATTTCTTTGTCAGTGGGCAAACGTACAAAAACAGCAGGGGATCAAGTACTTTTTTCCCACACTACCATTCAAAAGTTTGGGGTCACTTAGAAATGTCCTTGTTTTCGAAAGAAAATCTATTATTTTGTCCATTTAAAATAACATCAAATTGATCAGAAACACATTGTTAATGTTGTAAATGGGTATTGTAGCTGGAAACGGCTGATTTTTAATGGAATATCTACATAGGCGTACAGAGGCCCATTATCAGCAACCATCAGTCCTGTGTTCCAATGGCACGTTGTGTTTGCTAATCCAAGTTTATCATTTTAAAAGGCTAATTGATCATTAGAAAACCCTTTTGCAATTATGTTAGCACAGCTGAAAACTGTTGTGCTGATTTAAAGAAGCAATAAAACTGGCCTTCTTGAGACTAGTTGAGTATCTGGAGCATCAGCAATTGTGGGTTCGATTACAGAATCAAAATGGCCAGAAACAAATAACTTTCTTTTGAAACTCGTCAGTCTATTCTTGTTCTGAGAAATGAAGGCTATTCCATGCGAGAAATTGCCAAGAAACTGAAGATCTCGTACAACGCTGTGTACTACTCCCTTCACAGAACAGCGCAAACTGGCTCTAACCAGAATAGAAAGAAGAGTGGGAGGCCCCAGTCCACAACTGAGCAAGAGGATAAATACATTAGTGTCTAGTTTGAGAAACAGACCCCTCACAGGTCCTCAACTAACAGCTTCATTAAATAGTACCCGCAAAACACCAGTCTCAACGTCAACAGTGAAGAGGCGACTCCGGGATGCTGACCTTCTAGGCAGAGTTGCAAAGAAAAAGCCATATCTCAGACTGGCCAATAAAAAGAAAAGATTAAGATGGGCAAAAGAACACAGACACTGGACAGAGGAAGATTGGAAAAAAAGTGTTATGGACAGACAAATTGAAGTTTGAGGTGTTCGGATCACAAAGAAGAACATTTGTGAGACGCAGACCAAATGAAAAGATGCTGGAGGAGTGCTTGATGCCATCTGTCAACCATGGTGGAGGCAATGTGATGGTCTGGGGGTGCTTTGGTGGTGGTAAAGTGGGAGATTTGTACAGGGAAAAGGGGATCTTGAAGAAGGAAGACTATCACTCCATTTTGCAACGCCATGCCATACCCTGTGGACGGCGCTTGATTGGAGCCAGTTTCCTCCTACAACAGGACAATGACCCAAAGCACAGCTCCAAACTATGCAATAACTATTTAGGGAAGAAGCAGTCAGCTGGTATTCTGTCTATAATGGAGTTGCCAGCACAGTCACCGGATCTCAACCCTATTGAGCTGTTTTGGGAGCAGCTTGACCGTATTGTATGTAAGAAGTGCCCATCAAGCCAATCCAACTTGTGGGAGGTGCTTCAGGAAGCATGGGGTGAAATCTTTTCAAATTACCTCAACAAATTGACAACTAGAATGCCAAAGGTCTGCAAGGCTGTAATTGATGCAAATGGAGGATTCTTTGACGAAAGCAAAAGACACAATTATTATTTATATTAAAAATCATAATTTCTAACCTTGTCAATGACTACATTTCCTTTGCATTTTGCTATATTTCTTATTCAAATTCATTTAATGTATGTTTTCATGGAAAACAAGGACATTTCTAAGTGGCCCCATACTTTTGAACGGTAGTGTATATTTTTGTAAATATATAAAGCACCAGTCAAAAGTTTGGACACACCTACTCATTCAAGGGTTTTTCTTTATTTTTACTATTTTCTACATTGTAGAATAATAGTGAAGACATCAAGACTGAAATAACAGGTATGGAATCATGTAGTAACCAAAACAATTTGAGATGGTTTGGGATGAGTTGGACCGCAGAGTGAAGGAAAAGCAGCCAACACACCCTTTGCCTTGATGACAGCTTTGCACACTCTTGGCATTCTCTCAACAACTTCACCTGGAATGCTTTTCCAACGGTCTTGAAGGAGTTCCCACATATGCTGAGTTCTTGTTGGCTGCTTTTCCTTCACTCTGCGGTCCAACTCATCCCAAACCATCTCAATTGGGTTGAGGTCGGTTGATTGTGGAGGCCAGGTCATCTGATGCAGCACTCCATCACTCTCCTTCTTGGTCAAATAGCCCTTACACAGCCTGGAGATGTGTTGGGTCATTGTCCTGTTGAAAAACAAATGATAGTCCCACTAAGCGCAAACCAAATGGGATGGCGTATTGCTGCAGAATGCTGTGGTAGCCATGCTGGTTAAGTGTGCCTTGAATTCTAAATAATTCACAGACAGTGTCACCAGCAAAGTACCATCACACCTCCTCCTCCATGCTTCATGGTGGGAACCACACATGTGGAGATCATCCATTCACCTACTCTGTGTCTCACAAAGACACGGCGGTTGGAACCCAAATTTGGACTCATCAGACCAAAGGACACATTTCCACCAGTCTAATGTCCATTTCTCATGTTTCTTGGCCCAAGCAAGTCTCTTCTTCTTATTGGTGTCTTTTAGTAGTGGTTTCTTTGCAGCAATTTGACCATGAAAGCCTGATTCACTCAGTCTCCTCTGAACAGTTGATGTTGAGATGTGTCTGTTACTTGGACTCTGTGAAGCATTTATTTGGGCTGCAATTTCTGAGGCTGGTAACTCTAATGAACTTATCCTCTGCAGCAGAGGTAACTCTGGGTCTTCCTTTCCTGTGGCGGTCCTCATGAGAGCCAGTTTCATCATAGCGCTTGATGGTTTTTGTGACTGCACTTGATGAAACGTTCTTGAAATTTTCCGTGTTGACTGACCTTCATGTCTTAAAGTAAAGATGGACTGTCGTTTTTCTTTGCTTATTTGAGCTGTTCTTGCCATAATATGGACTTGGTCTTTTACCAAATAGGGCTATCTTCTGTATACCCCCCTACCTTGTCACAACACAACTGATTGGCTCAAATGCATTAAGAAGGAAAGAAATTCCACAAATTAGCTTTTAACAAGGCACACCTGTTAATTGAAATGCATTCCAGGTGACTACCTCATGAAGCTGGTTGAGAGAATGCCAAGAGTGTGCAAAGCTGTCATCAAGGCAAAGGGTGGCTACTTTGAAGAATCTCAAATATAACATTTGTTTATCACTTTTTTGGTTACTACGTGATTCCATATGTGTTATTTCATAGTTTTGATGTCTTCACTATTATTCTACAATGTAGAAAAGAAACGTTTGACTGGTAGTGTATATATAGGGCGGTGCACAATTGGCCCAGCGTCGTCCGGGTTTGGCCGGTGTAGGCCGTCATTGTAAATAAGAATTTGTTCTTTACTGACTTGCCTAGTTAAATAAAGGTTAAATAAATAAATAAATAAAAATATATATTTTTTCCTTCTTTATTACTTTCCCCTAACCCAACCACCCCTCCCCTAATTGGAGTAAACTAATGGACAACAATACTTATGCTTCCACTTGCAGTTTATACATACTACATAGATTTCACGGACAGTATAATTGACGTTAGTTATCTTTTGTTTGTTTTTAGTCCCAGCCTTGGCTACCCTCAACCTTTCCATCTATCTCTGAAGACCATCCAGTTTTGATTTCTAGCTGCCATATATTTTTCCACTGTGCTGTGATGTTTCACAAAAGTTCTGAACCTTTCTATTGTCATAGTTTCTACAGATTGTAAATGAAAGACAATCACCTTTGCTAAGAGTATTATTATATTATTGATCGATTGACTATGACCCAGCAGTGCTATTTGCAGAGTTGGCTCCAAGTAAATGTTGCATTTTGTCAGCCATTCCTGAACCTGCGACCAAAAACAAGCTACATATGGGCAGTACCAAAACAAGAGATCTAATGATTGTCTCTTCGCAGCAAAATCTGCAGAGCTGGGATGGTTGTATCACCCATATATACAGTGCATTCAGAAAGTATTCAGACCCTTTTGCCTTTTCCACATTTTATTCTTGATTAAATTAATGTTTTTTCTCATCCATCTACACACAATACCCCATAATGACAGTGAAAACAGGTTTTTAGAAATGTTAAAACATTTAAAACAGAAATACCTTATTTACATACGTATTTAGAACCTTTGCTATGAGACTTGAAATTTAGCTCTGGTGCATCCTGTTTCCATTGATCATCCTTGAGATGTTTCTACAAGTTGATTGGAGTCCATCTGTGGTAAATTCAATTGATTGGACATGATTTAGAAAGGCACACACCTGTCTATATAAAGTCCCACAGTTGACAGTGCATTCAGAGCAAAAACCAAGCCATTAGGTCGAAGGAATTGTCCGTAGAGATCCGAGATAGGATTGTGTCGAGGCACAGATCTGGGGAAGGGTACCAAAAAGATTTCTGCACGATTGAAGTTTCCCAAGAACACAGTGGCCTCCATCATTCTTAAATGGAAGAAGTTAGGAACCACCAAGACTCTTCCTAGAGTTGGCCGCCCGGCCAAACTGCGCAATCGGGGGAGAAGGGCCTTGGTCAGGAAGGTGACCAAGAACCCGATGGTCACACTGACAGAGCTCTAGAGTTCCTCTTTTCAGATGGACAACCATCTCTGCAGCACTCCACTAATCAGGCGTTTATGGTAGATTGGCCAGACGGAAGCCACTCCTCAGTAAAAGGCACTTGACAGCACGCTTGGAGTTTGCCAAAAGGCGCCTAAAGGACTCTCTGACCATGAGAAACAAGGTTCTCTGGTCTGATGAATCCAAGATTAAACTCTTTGGCCTGAATGCCAAGTGTCATGTCTGGAGGAAACCTGGCACCATCCCTACGGTGAAGCATGGTGGTGGCATCATCATGCTGTGGGGATGTTTTTCAGCGGTAGGGACTGGGAGACTAGTCATGATTGAATGCACTGTATAACATTCTATTGGTTGCAAGAATTTTGTATAATCATTTAAATTATAAAACTCTTAAGTTTTGAATCCGGCGTCTTGTGTATCAGTTCATAAACCATGTGCCATGGAATCGGTACATCGAAAATCTCCTCCCAACTATTTTGCAACCTGTATGGTACAGCTGTCAATGTTTTGGTCCTTAAATGAAACTGGTATCGTTTTTTATTTATCACAATTTTCTTTAGCCAATTTTGTTCTTTAATGCAGGGCCAACAGACAAGTTCCTTACCTTCTCCCCTTTCCACTTGCCTCCTCCATTTTTGTGGTAATGCTGCAATCAGTTGGTTGTAATTTTGGATAGAGTAGACTTTTCCATATATTTTAGTTAACTGCATGTGTGACAACTTCTCCAGTGCTATTTCTGATATAATTTACAAATACCGTTTTTTTTTTTTTTTTTTTTTCAAATAATGTTTTTTTTTTAATCAATTAGTATATTTGAGTTTAACCATAATATTTGTTGTAATATTTGTTTGGTCTTTTCTGGGGGATTAAACTGAAATTGCAACCATTTTCTATTGCTTGTTTTAAAAATAGCTATATTTTGGAGATGGTTTAATTTTCAAATAACCGAAAGTGAGAGGTTGTAATCTGAATGAAGAGAAAAAGGCCATTCTTGAACAAGGGGTGAGCCATTCTTACTAATCTGCTAGAGAAGCAGATCGTATTTAAGTATAGTTTTTGTATGACTGAAGCCTTTAGTGAGAGGTCCAATGCTTTAATATTTAATAATCATTATATTAATAGACCCGTTTAATTTTGTCTGGCTTGCCGTTCCAAATGAAGTGGAATATTATTTTGCTCATTTAAAAAACAAGTCGTTAGGTGTAGGCAGGGCCGTAAGTAAATAGTTCAACTGGGATATGACTAAAGAATCAATCAGGGTGATTTTTCCACAAATAGACATGTATTGTCCTTTCCATGGTAGCAAAATCATATCTCATTTGGCTAACTTTCTATTAAAATGTATTGTAGTGAGATCATTTATTTATTTCGGGATATGACTACTGAGTATGTCCACTTCACCGTCTGACCATTTTATTGATAAACCACGCGGTAATGGAAAAGTTGTATTTATTAGAGATCTTATATGTAATATGGTACACTTATCATCATTCAGTTTTAATCCAGAGAGGTTGAAAAAATTGATCTAGATCCTCAATGAAGCTGTGCAGAGATCCAAATAGCATATTTTAAAGAAATAATGAATCGTCAGCGTACAATGACACCTTTGTATTTAAGCCCTGGATTTCTAGCCCCTTGAAATTATTGTTTGATCTGATTTTAATAGCTTACATTTCGATGGCCATAATAAATAGATATGCCGATAGTGGACAGCCTTGTTTTACTCCTCTTGACAATTTAATACGGGCGGCGGCAGGTAGCTTAGTGATTAAGAGTGTTGTGCCAGTAACCGAAAGGTTGCTGGTTCTAATCCCCGAGCCAGCTAGGTGAAAAATCTGTCGATGTGCCCTTGAGCAAGGCACTTAACCCTAATTGCTCCTGTAAGTCGCTCTGGATAAGAGCGTCTGCTAAATGACTTATTATTATTATAATACTTTCTGAGAAGTAGCCATTATTTACTATTTTACACCTGGTGTTACTATACATAACTTTAACCCATTGTCTAAGAGTCAAAATTAAAAAGTCCAGGCATTTATATATAAATTCCAGTTGTACTTTATCAAAGGCCTTTTCAAAGTCAGCTATGAATACCAGGCCTGGTTTCCCAGATTTTTCATAGTGTTCTATTGTTTCCAGTACTTGTCTTATATTAGCTCCAATATATCGTTCATGTAAAAAACCTGTGATTAGGATTAATAATATCTGACAATACCTTTTTAATTCTATGCGCTATGCATTTTGCTAGGATTTTGGCATCACAACACTGAAATGTAAGGGGTCTCCAGTGTTTTAGGTGGACTGGATCTTTATATTTACCATCTGTGTCCTGTTTCAGTAATAGTGAAATCATAGCTTCTTGCTGAGTATCTGATCGTCTACCAGTGGTTAGAACATGTTAATACCACATTCAAAACATGCACACACACACACACACACAATTCCACCAGCCTTCTGCAGCTGGCAGATTTTGGGGAGCGTAGAGTGGAGAGGAAGTACCCCTCTGGCCTGTCCTGTTTTCTCAGCTGGACTGTCTCGGAGTGATGTGTGTGTGGGTCTGTCTATGCTATGTGCTTGTGAAGAGACAGGCTTGGTGCCAGGGCTAACTGTATCTGTTCTCTTCCCCCCCCACAGTACGATGCCATCCGGGTGAACCAGCTCTATGAGCAGGCCAAGTGGGCCATCCTGCTGGAGGAAATAGAGTGTACTGAGGAGGAGATGATGATGTTCGCCGCCCTGCAGGTGAGACCTGTGTACTATATGTGTGTCAGTGTGTGTTTGTGCGTGCGTGTGTGTAGGGATCATGTTCATTGTCCTGGTTGAGGACTGCTTACTTAGCCCTGCAGTAGTTACCTTCTCTATGGGCTCACTGCCTTGCGAACAGAACACAGAAGAACAGCAAATTATTTGAATGGGCATGTTGCCCAGTGTTGAGACTCTGATGTGGTGGGTGTCTGATCTGCTTTGCAGCAGTACACAGAAACATGGTCCTCCTATTAACTGTATGCAGGGCTGTATGCTTGCACAGAGCAACTGCAATGAAAACCAAATGATCCTGTCTGTGACGCCTTGTCTCTAGAAACAACCCACTCCAGACTCCTGCCATTAAAGGTGGTGAGACTAGACACCTCACTGACACTTTAGACTTGTTCAAGTGCTGTTCAACCCCATAGTTAACAACTGCTGTGGACCTATCGGTTATGTCACTGCTTCTTATATACAAGTTGTGTAATATAAGAGGAATAGTGAAGAGCGGGAAGGAGAGTGAAGGTAGGTTTTGGGGGGGGGGGGGGGTTTGGGTTGCCCCCTGAGCCCAGGGCAGCCCTGTTATTTCCAATCCTCCTAAAGCCTGAGTGACAGGACATGGGGACACCAGTGTGTCCTCACCCTAACGGGTCATTATAGAGTAACCATTACTACTGGACTCATCCCACCGGATGGACCACCCACTCCAACCCCAACCCAACCTGTAGCCTCCTACACATTCCTCAATATCCCCACTTAAATTGAAAGGTGTTACCGTGCTGGGGTCTTCAACAGGGGCCGGGGTGTTTATTAATACACCATACACAGATGCTAATCTGCAGTGTGTTTGGATTAGCAGCTAGCATGTCTCTGTCTGTTAGCGACGCTATCTATCGTTATCTCTTGCTAAGTTAAAGGTAGCTGTGACAAGGTAACCAGACCAGACCAGAACATGGTGAGACTGGCTCTATCTTGGTACAGAGGATAGTGTGAATGAATGGCCAGGTAAGGCCAGAGACTCGTCCCAATATTACAAACAGGATTCTGACCAGACTAGATGGTATTTCCATTGTGAATCAATGCAGAAATGCTGCACGCGATGTCCCAAGTCTGCACTACTCACATGTGCTCCTAGTAAAGACACATTTACAGTCACTTAAGATCTGCTGAGATTGCGGCATCTAGACCCTCCCCCCATTTCCCCTACTAAATAATCCCCTTCCCCCCCCAAAGCCACTCTCTGTCTCACAGACATGGTTTCTCCACACTGTACGCACACACTATCCATTGTCTATGAATGCTTTGTTTTACAGTCATATTTTGATGGTGTAGACCTCGTATTTACTGAGAAATGTGGTAACATGGGTATTTTCTGGTACTCGCTTCAAAGAATTCAAAATAATTATTGTTAACTACCAGTTAGTGCTTCATGGTACTGACTTCTACAAAACCCAAAGAAACTCAGAAGTATTTATTGGACAATCATCGTGTTTTTACCACTTCATATGCTATGAAAGGGACTAGGCAATCACTACCAATGTACATCCAAACGAAACCCAGTGGAGCAAAACAGAAAAGTTACATTAACAGTCATTATTTTCCTAATGACATTCACAATATCAAACAGGAGACTGGTGTTGACACATTATTCACTGTCATGGCATATAGGGTAAAGGACTATAGGCTAAACATTAGCCCCTTCTCTCTCTGTCCCCCAGTACCACATCAACAAGCTGTCCATCATGTCGTCAGACAACCACATGAACAACAGTGAGAAGGAGGTGGACGAGGTGGACGCTGCCCTGTCAGACCTGGAGATCACCCTGGAGGGAGGCAAGACCTCCAACACCCTGGTATTACACCTTACTGTCCTATACTAACCACAACCCTAACCCTGTCAGACCTGGAGATCACCCTGAAGGGAGGCAAGACCTCCAACACCCTGGTATTACACCTTACTGTCCTATACTAACCACAATCCTAACCCTGTCAGACCTGGAGATCACCCTGGAGGGAGGCAAGACCTCCAACACACTGGTACAACTACTGCATTTTACTGTAATTCAGAACACTCCCTCCTCTCTCAATGAAATTCTATTCTTGTCATTATAATCCAAATTTGTGCTGACTGATCAACACAGTGTCAAGTTACTTTTCAATATATTCCCGAAACCTGAAGTCACCATCCACAAGTAAAAAGTAGCAGGCATGTGGGTTGCACACGAAGCATCCAAGTAAAAAAACTAACATATTAATGATCATTGCTTGCTTGCGTGACCTGTGTGCAGTCAAAATAAAATGCCATGCTTGCTAACTTGGTTAGCTATGTGATAAAATGAAACAGTTTTGAACACATCAACTGTTTTAGACTATTTTTTTTACCAAGCAAGATAAATAAACGTTCAATCAGTACAGAATGAACGCGTGCTGTCATCACCAGACTGTCCATTTAAATAGTGTCAAGTTGATGAATCTATAACAGGGTTCGTAGCGTAACGGTTGGCGTCACCGCCCTGGGATTTGAAGGTCCTGGGTTCGCCTACCAGAGGGTTTATTTTGACCATTCTCTTTCATGTATAGATTTTGACACCCCCCTCCCTTTACCGACACACACACACACACCGGCGCGCAAACATGCTCCTTTTCATTTATTAGGTGTCTCTTAAAAGAGCCTTTGGGTTCGTTGGGCATTGTTGAGTGGCAAGGGACAGGGAGTGTGACGTGTACTGGTACGCTTGTCTTGCTACTACGGAGGAGAAAATGGTGGAGACCAGCTTTCAAACTCTCAAGTAAGACATTGTTGCCCTCATCTGTCAGATGCACTCCATCTCTACAGGACAAATGGACACGTTGTAAACGTTTCTCCTTTTCTGGCGCCACTTTCTTTCATTTGAGAAGCTAAGAAATGTGTCAAGCTGGCCCGGGTGGAACTGGAAAACTACTGACACTTTGCATATCTGAATAAGCGTATCGTACACTATCAGTCGCACTTATGTAGCCTTTGTTCTCTTCCAAATGAGTACTCCCATCTGTTTTCATATTTATACTGCCATTTATAAATGTGGGAATGTGTGCTCTTTTACTGGAGTGGACAGCATTACTAAGAACATTTGTAGCTAAAGGATTTAGAGTGCCTATCCAATGTCAGATTTGTAAATATGTACAGTGGGGAAAAAAAGTATTTAGTCAACCACCAATTGTGCAAGTTCTCCGACTTAAAAAGATGAGAGAGGCCTGTCATTTTCATCATAGGTACACGTCAACTATGACAGACAAATTGAGATTTTTTTTTCCAGAAAATCACATTGTAGGATTTTTAATGAATTTATTTGCAAATTATGTTGGAAAATAAGTATTTGGTCACCTACAAACAAGCAAGATTTCTGGCTCTCACAGACCTGTAACTTCTTCTTTAAGAGGCTCCTCTGTCCTCCACTCATTACCTGTATTAATGGCACCTGTTTGAACTTGTTATCAGTATAAAAGACACCTGTCCACAACCTCAAACAGTCACACTCCAAACTCCACTATGGTCAAGACCAAAGAGCTGTCAAATGACACCAGAAACAAAATTGTAGACCTGCACCAGGCTGGGAAGACTGAATCTGCAATAGGTAAGCAGCTTGGTTTGAAGAAATCAACTGTGGGAGCAATTATTAGGAAATGGAAGACATACAAGACCACTGATAATCTCCCTCGATCTGGGGCTCCACGCAAGATCTCACCCTGTGGGGTCAAAATGATCACAAGAACAGTGAGCAAAAATCCCAGAACCACACGGGGGGACCTAGTGAATGACCTGCAGAGAGCTGGGACCAAAGTAACAAAGCCTACCATCAGTAACACACTACGCAGCCAGGGACTCAAATCCTGCAGTGCCAGACGTGTCCCCCTGCTTAAGCCAGTACATGTCCAAGCCCATCTGAAGTTTGCTAGAGTGCATTTAGATGATCCAGAATAGGATTGGGAGAATGTCATATGGTCAGATGAAACTTTTTGGTAAAAACCCAACTCGTCGTGTTTGGAGGACAAAGAATGCTGAGTTGCATCCAAAGAACACCATACCTACTGTGAAGCATGGGGGTGGAAACTTCATGCTTTGGGGCTGTTTTTCTGCAAAGGAACCAGGACGACTGATCCGTGTAAAGGAAAGAATGAATGGGGCCATGTATCGTGAGATTTTGAGTGAAAACCTCCTTCCATCAGCAAGGGCATTGAAGATGAAACGTGGCTGGGTCTTTTAGCATGACAATGATCCCAAACACACCTCCCGGGCAACGAAGGAGTGGCTTCGTAAGAAGCATTTCAAGGTCCTGGAGTGGCCTAGCCAGTCTCCAGATCTCAACCCCATAGAAAATCTTTGGAGGGAGTTGAAAGTCCGTGTTGCCCAGCGACAGCCCCAAAACATCACTGCTCTAGAGGAGATATGCATGGAGGAATGGGCCAAAATACCAGCAACAGTGTGTGAAAACCTTGTGAAGACTTACAGAAAACATTTGACCTGTGTCATTGCCAACAAGGGGTATATAACAAAGTATTGAGAAACTTTTGTTATTGACCAAGTACTTATTTTCCACCATAATTTGCAAATAAATTCATAAAAAATCCTACAATGTGATTTTCTGGATTTTTTTTTCTCATTTTGTCTGTCATAGTTGACATGTACCTATGATGAAAATTACAGGCCTCTCTCATCTTTTTAAGTGGGAGAACTTGCACAATTGGTGGCTGACTAAATAATTTTTTTCCCCACTGTATTCTTAAAAGTGTTTTGTACTTGTCTAATGACTTTGTATTTTACAGGTGTTTCTCAGCAGTTTGTCATTTGTCACAGGGTTTGGATCAGGAGTTACCAAAATTGCTATTGACGAGCCACAGTGTTATGCAGGCTTTTTTGTTCAAGCCCCGTGTTGTTCATCGAGACCTTGAATAGTACAATCAGGTGTGGTAGAACTGGGCTTGAACAAGACATCCTGCATAACCCTGTAGCTTAAAGAGCAATTAAGGCCATCCCTGAACTATATCTGATGAATGTACGATTGTAAATTGTATATTTTGTAATAACTCACTATTGTTTACAGGTAATGTAGTATCCTACTAGGCCTTTCTTCAGTAAACTTTTAAGTACATTTTCATGTTAATGGTACATGTTGATTATTTTGTGTGTTTTCCAGCAGCTTTCTCGATTGTCTTGTTACAAGAGATCAGTGAAGAATAATTCAGTTTACACCATATATTGCCTTAAATGGGTTTCTGGTTTTTCCCTTTTCCGCTGGAAAATCAGCTGTTAATATAAAATAAATACTAATAACTACATTATTTCAGTTGCCATTTGTCATTATTGTGTACTTTTACTTTACTTTTATTGCTGTGTAAAAACCATGGAAATTAGTCAGGCTGTTTGAGAAGGTTTGAATCCTAAGCAACCTGCCTACACATTGTTGGAAGTACAATAGACCAACGTAGATACTATAGTAGGTCAAAGCTGTGTGCTGGAAAATCTTAGAGCATGGGTGAGCATCGGTGAAGTACGCATTGTGGTGCACATTCCCTTTTTCGGCTTCAGACCAATGCCTACTTCTCACTTAAAACTTGTTTTTTTTAGTTTGACTAGGGCCTGGGTGAGAACTTCACTGCAAGGCAAAAAGCTACTTCAGAAGGTGTGAATTCTAATTATGTATATAAACACTAGATTGCTGATGCAATGTGTTGGCCAGTGAAAGGCTTTGAAGCCACCGGTCGGCCATATTGGCACTCCCCAGTACTAGCAGTCCTCCATAGGAATGAATGGAATTCTACAGTATTTCAATTAAATGTTTCAAGGACAAAATTACATGTATTTAAGTATTTTGTTGTTGTAGTGGGGACAGTAACATTTTCTAACAATTAACCTTTAAGGGAAATGTTATATATTTGATTATTTGTATGTTTAGCTCACATAATATAATTTAAAAGTATGCATTAGGTATCTGTAATAGAATAAATGTTGTAAAAAAGAATGTAGACATTAAGAAATACATTTCTATAGCTTCCAAAATATTTTTTACAATGGTGGGGGAGTGCGAAGCTGAATGTGCGGTGGCTTCAAAACAGCACCCCTGTCAGTCATCTAGTGTATATATAAATAATTGGTAAATTCTGTATGGGTCGGGGATATCACATGATGTGGCCATTGTTAAAAGTGCCTGCCCCAACAAATTGAAGTTTATACAGCTTATCTGAGGAAGTTGAAGCTTGATTACCTAACTAATGTTTTATTTTATATGCAACTCTGAGCGATGACATTGCAAACATAGAAAGTCAAACTTGAGGTCATTGTTAAAGTTGTGCTTTATAATCCTGTCCTTGTCCTTTATCAATAATAACCATTCAACCAGCACTAAACATGTTTGTTCCTCTCTTCCTCTCAGGGTGATATCACGTCCATTCCTGAACTGGCTGACTACGTCAAAGTCTTCAAGTAAGTTCAACAACTGCTTTGGCGGTAGAAGTTGTCTTTAATCACAGATCTAGGATCAGTGTATCATCCTGAAATCCATTAGGGGGACATTCTAAACTGACCTTAGATCAGTGGCAACGGGCCAACTAGCCAGTTCCTCCCAAATCCAGACTGCCTCCGTTGATTCATTTTGGCCCTTCCTTGATGTCTGCTAATGACTGGCGATGCGCCTTTCAAGAAGGCATTGTCCTTGGGATGTTAAATCTAATACTATGGGAGCAGGAAACAAGGTTTGGGCCCAAATTGGAGAGCTGTTGTCTGTTCAGTATCAAACTGGGCTGTATGGATTGTGTTTGTGGACGGGCTTGTTCCCAGGGCCAGCTGATTGGTAGGGCTCAGGATGTAACAAAAACACTGATTACTGCAGGGATTCGGATTTACGTTAGGACTAGGACCAGTTATAATGGTCCTCTTTAGCTCATGGCGGGTTATATTGGTCCTCAGTAGCTCAGTTGGTAGAGCATGGCCCTTGTAACACCAGGGTAGTGGGTTCGATTCAAGAGACCACCCATACATAAAATCTATGCACGCATGACAGTCGCTTTGGACATAGTATCTGCTAAATGGCATATGTTATAATATTATTATTATTATTATTATTATATTATAGGCTCTAACTAGGGCACAGAGCAATAGCTTATACATAGCTAGGTGCCCAGAGTTTTTCATGGTCTGGTATGGTGGCGAGTAAAAACCCCTGGCCCTAGCCATAATAGCCTTTTGGCCACAGGCCCGTGCTGACAAGCAGGTAGCTCTTTAATAATGTTGTAAAAATATAAGCTGTAAACTATTACGGAGAGGCATTTCCACAGTAATTGTCTTCCATTAAAACTCATGCCCAACGTTGGCTCCTCTCCCGTTCATGCTGCTGACTCCGTTATGGACCACAGAAGGAGGCTGAGAAAGCTCTCTCTTTCTTTCTCTCTCCTTTTTTCAGTTAGACTTGGCCCCTCTTAAGTGGAAGAAAAGTACCCCCCTTTTTTATGAGGCTCGACGGCTCTCCTCTTGGTGTCTGGGGTTGGGTTAGCGATGCTAAGCTATGTGTTTTGTGATTCAAGCAGAACTGACAACCCCCGTCGCTCTTTTTCTCTCTGTTCTATGTGTTTTACAGGCCAAAGAAACTGACACTGAAAGGCTACAAGCAGTACTGGTGCACGTTCAAGGACATCACAATTTCCTGCTACAAGAGCAAAGAGGAGGCTCATGGGACACCCTCTCTCCAAATGAATCTAAGAGGTACGAGTACACACACATACACACACACACTAAAGAATGCAACAGTTCCTTTATGACCTGAGTCTGTGTGATCCCCAATAGTGTGTGATAGATGGTTTTGACCACATCCCGCCCCCTTCCTCTCTGAACTGTTCCGCGTTTTTGTAGGTTGCGAGGTGACACCAGATGTCAACATCTCCGCTCAGAAATTCAACATCAAGTTGCTTATCCCTGTAGCTGACGGCATGAACGAGATCTGGCTGCGGTGTGACGCTGTGAGTACGGCTCTCTGGCCTCCCGCAGGAAGACCCCCCCCCCGGGGGGAAACACTGATACTGTAAATGCAGTCCATATAGTCATCTTATAATCATAACCACCATCCTTCTCTCTGTCTACTCCCTCCCCTCCCCATGCAGGAGAAGCAGTATGCCCACTGGATGGCGGCATGCCGCCTGGCCTCTAAGGGGAAGACAATGGCAGACAGCTCCTACAACCTGGAGGTCCAGAACATTCTATCCTTCCTCAAGATGCAGCACATGAACCCTGACCCCCAGTTCATTGCGGAGCCAGCCGTCACCAACGACATCAACTCTGAGTGCCTGGTGTCACCGCGCTACCTGAAGAAGTACAAGAACAAGCAGGTAACTGAAATATCCAGGGTCTGTGTGGAGAGGAGACCCCTTTTATGTAGCCTACAGCTGAATGGCCCTGGACTCAAATATGCATGCATGCAGATACATACACTGCGAGTGAACAGACAAGTCTATGGCAGCAGAAAGCAACCCTGGCTTAACTATATTTAGATGCATTGATGTTAGTCAGGTGAAAGTTGAAAGATAGCCTTGGGAGGGAGGGAGGGAATTCTTCCAGGGGGAGATTGTTGTTTACCCCCTTGATGCACCCCAGCTGGGCGCCGCCTGGCATCTGGGTTGTCCTGCACAGGAATGCAACCTCCCTCTCTCGCTCCCTCCTTCCCTCTCCAAGGGGATCCAATGACAGCGGACCATGCACTCAGCAGTCTAAAAGGGAGGATTACCACAAGTGAGGCTCAAAGTCTATCTCCTTACTCTAAACTAGCTTCCTTCCCTCGTCTCCATTCTGTCATTATAACTGAAAGGTGACTAGCAAGGAAGCTAGTTGACTGGATAGAGGTCCACCATGTTAATTTCACCCATCCATGTCCTTCCAGATCTGTGCTCAAGAAGGAAAGGAGAAGAGAAAAATAATATAATGCTAAAGACTATTGAGAGAGACAGACAGAGAAATCCAGACACAACCTAAACGAGTTGTCTCACTGAGAACTCCGAAGCAAACCACCAAAAGCCAACCAATGATGAGAAGTCACTTACGCATTAGGCCCTCATAGGCAGAGATTAACTTGTTTAAGGGGCAGGAACATTGTGCTCTGTACTTAGCAAATTCCCATGTAAATAACAGGCTGATGTATATACTGTACATTGGAACTGCTGAGCACATGACTCCACAGATGGGAGTGGGAGTGGCCTTCCCTCGCTTACTCACTCAATGTGGTTCTGATTAAGCTGTATAGGAAAAGAGGGAAGTTATTTTGGAGTGTGTGGTGGTTAAGTGTGACTCCGTACTAGTCTGGGTTTGGACTGTAACCATAGCTTCAGCCTGGCGTGTTACTGGGTCGTCTAGGAAAAGAGCATGGGGAAGAACCACTCATGGTGTGTCAGTGAGAAGGGAGGAGGGGAGAGCTCATCAAACAGGAAATGTCTATCCTGGGTGGACATCCGTTTCCGCTGAATCACACTGAAATTGTGTTTCTGTCCCAAAAAAGGAAAGAGAAAGAGGCAAACTTGTTTATTCGGCGTTGCTGCCCAAAAACAGGAAATGTGTGTGAGAGTGTGTATAGTCTGTAGTGTGCATGTTTAAGAGAAAATGGGCCTCCCACTCAGATCTCATTCAAATTCTCACTGCTTCAGCCTCTCTACCCAGACCTGCGGGGCAGTCTGTCTGTATGGGGCTGTGGTTCTGGCCCATATCCAGTCTCTGTCTCAGTGTGAGGCTGAGCTCCAACCCAACGGAGCCTAGCTAGGCAGGCAAGGGATGTCCCTAAGGCACCACATGAAACACTCATCTCATCTCTGGCTGGACAGGGCCACTGGCGGTGGGATTAGCTAGGGAAGTTTTGAAGAGCATTGTGTGCTTTTTGTGAGAGTTTGTTCTGTAGTGTTTGTGTTTGTGTGTGTTTGGGAGGGGAGCTTCAGGAAATGAGTCCTCCCTGGGAATGCAGAATGGGAAGCCAGGCTGAGAAAAGCCACTCTGTCAGACAGCTAGTTGTGCTGTGGGACCACTCAGTCAGACAGCTAGTTATGCTGTGGGACCACTCAGTCAGACAGCTAGTTGTACTGTGGGACAACTCTGTCAGACAGCTAGTTGTGCTGTGGGACCACTCAGTCAGACAGCTAGTTATGCTGTGGGACCACTCAGTCAGACAGCTAGTTGTACTGTGGGACAACTCTGTCAGACAGCTAGTTGTGCTGTGGGAGAGATGCTTGCAGGACACTGCCTCTCCTCTTTCCCTTTCCCCCAAACTGGACTTCCTCTTCTCTGACCCCCCCATGGGACTTCCTCTTCTCTGACCCCCCCCCCTCCCCATGGGACCTCCTCTTCTCTGACCCCCCCCCCCCCCCCCCCCCCCCCCCCCCCCCCCCCCCATGGGACTTCCTCTTCTCTGACCCCCCCCCCCATGGGACTTCCGTGCTCCAATCCCAGCGGATACGCACAGGAATGTATAGATCACTGGGAGTTGGACTAGATGGTTTCTTAACTTCCTAGTCAAACATACAGTTTTACATAAGAGAAAGCAAACTGGGCAGGCCAAATAACAAGCACAATGCTCTTTTTTTTTCTTGTGTCCTTTAAAAAAAAAAAAGTATATATATATATATATATATACACACACAGTGGGGAGAACAAGTATTTGATACACTGCCGATTTTGCAGGTTTTCCTACTTACAAAGCATGTAGAGGTCTGTAATTTTTATCATAGATACACTTCAACTGTGAGAGACGGAATCTAAAACAAAAATCCAGAACATCACATTGTATGATTTTTAAGTAATTCATTTGCATTTTATTGCATGACATAAGTATTTGATACATCAGAAAAGCAGAACTTAATATTTGGTACAGAAATCTTTGTTTGCAATTACAGAGATCATACGTTTCCTGTAGGTCTTGACCAGGTTTGCACACACTGCAGCAGGGATTTTGGCCCACTCCTCCATACAGACCTTCTCCAGATCCTTCAGGTTTCGGGGCTGTCGCTGGGCAATACGGACTTTCAGCTCCCTCCAAAGATTTTCTATTGGATTCAGGTCTGGAGACTGGCTAGGCCACTCCAGGACCTTGAGATGCTTCTTACGGAGCCACTCCTTAGTTGCCCTGGCTGTGTGTTTCTGGTCGTTGTCATGCTGGAAGACCCAGCCACGACCCATCTTCAATGCTCTTACTGAGGGAAGGCGGTTGTTGGCCAAGATCTCGCGATACATGGCCCCATCCATCCTCCCCTTAATACGGTGCAGTCGTCCTGTCCCCTTTGCAGAAAAGCATCCCCAAAGAATGATGTTTCCACCTCCATGCTTCACGGTTGGGATGGTGTTCTTGGGGTTGTACTCATCCTTCTTCTTCCTCCAAACACGGCGAGTGGAGTTTAGACCAAAAAGCTATATTTTTGTCTCATCAGACCACATGACCTTCTCCCATTCCTCCTCTGGATCATCCAGATGGTCATTGGCAAACTTCAGACGGGCCTGGACATGCGCTGGCTTGAGCAGGGGGACCTTGCGTGCACTGCAGGATTTTAATCCATGACGGCGTAGTGTGTTACTAATGGTTTTCTTTGAGACTGTGGTTCCAGCTCTCTTCAGGTCATTGACCAGGTCCTGCCGTGTAGTTCTGGGCTGATCCCTCACCTTCCTCATGATCATTGATGCCCCACGAGGTGAGATCTTGCATGGAGCCCCAGACCGAGGGTGATTGACCGTCATCTTGAACTTCTTCCATTTTCTAATAATTGCGCCAACAGTTGTTGCCTTCTCACCAAGCTGCTTGCCTATTGTCCTGTAGCCCATCCCAGCCTTGTGCAGGTCTACAATTTTATCCCTGATGTCCTTACACAGCTCTCTGGTCTTGGCCATTGTGGAGAGGTTGGAGTCTGTTTGATTGAGTGTGTGGACAGGTGTCTTTTATATAGGTAACGAGTTCAAACAGGTGCAGTTAATACAGGTAATGAGTGGAGAACAGGATGGCTTCTTAAAGAAAAACTAACAGGTCTGTGAGAGCTGGAATTCTTACTGGTTGGTAGGTGATCAAATACTTATGTCATGCAATAAAATGCAAATTAATTACTTAAAAATCATACAATGTGATTTTCTGGATTTTAGTTTTAGATTCCATCTCTCACAGTTGAAGTGTACCTATGATAAAACTGACAGACCTCTACATGCTTTGTAAGTAGGAAAACCGGCAAAATCGGCAGTGTATCAAATACTTGTTCTCCCCACTGTGTATATATATATATATATATATATATATATATATATATATATATATATATATATATATATATATTTTTTTTTTAGGGGGTAGATCAGCTTTAATATTTCAGATAGATTGTAACTTCCATCAATGTAATTGTCTGCATCACTTCCATTCCCCCATATGTTTTTTTTCTCGCAAATATATATATATATACAGTGGGGAGAACAAGTATTTGATACACTGCCAATTATGCAGGTTTTCCTACTTACAAAGCATGTAGAGGTCTGTAATTTTTTATCATATGTACACTTCAACTGTGAGAGACGGAATCTAAAGCAAAAATCCAAAAAATCACATTGTATGATTTTTAAGTAATTAATTTGCATTTTATTGCATGACATAAGTATTTGATCACCTACCAACCAGTAAGAATTCCAGCTCTCACAGACCTGTTAGTTTTTCTTTAAGAAGCCCTCCTGTTCTCCACTCATTACCTGTATTAACTGCACCTGTTTGAAATCGTTACCTGTATTAAGGACACCTGTCCACACACTCAATCAAACAGACTCCAACCTCTCCACAATGGCCAAGACCAGAGAGCTGTGTAAGGACATCAGGTATAAAATTGTAGACCTGCACAAGGCTGGGAAGGGCTACAGGACAATAGGCAAGCAGCTTGGTGAGAAGGCAACAACTGTTGGCGCAATTATTAGAAAATGGAAGAAGTTCAAGATGACGGTCAATCACCCTCGGTCTGGGGCTCCATGCAGGATCTCACCTCGTGGGGCATCAATGATCATGAGGAAGGTGACCATTAGTAACACACTACGCCGTCATGGATTAAAATCCTGCAGCGCACGCAAGGTCCCCCTGCTCAAGCCAGCGCATGTCCAGGCCCGTCTGAAGTTTGCCAATGACCATCTGGATGATCCAGAGGAGGAATGGGAGAAGGTCATGTGGTCTGATGAGACAAAAATATAGCTTTTTGGTCTAAACTCCACTCGCCGTGTTTGGAGGAAGAAGAAGGATGAGTACAACCCCAAGAACACCATCCCAACCGTGAAGCATGGAGGTGGAAACATCATTCTTTGGGGATGCTTTTCTGCAAAGGGGACAGGACGAATTCACCGTATTGAGGGGAGGAAGGATGGGGCCATGTATCGCGAGATCTTGGCCAACAACCTCCTTCGCTCAGTAAGAGCATTGAAGATGGGTCGTGGCTGGGTCTTCCAGCATGACAACGACCCGAAACACACAGCCAGGGCAACTAAGGAGTGGCTCTGTAAGAAGCATCTCAAGGTCCTGGAGTGGCCTAGCCAGTCTCCAGACCTGAACCCAATAGAAAATCTTTGGAGGGAGCTGAAAGTCCGTATTTCCCAGCGACAGCCCCGAAACCTGAAGGATCTGGAGAAGGTATGGAGGAGTGGGCCAAAATCCCTGCTGCAGTGTGTGCAAACCTGGTCAAGACCTACAGGAAATGTATGATCTCTGTAATTGCAAACAAAGATTTCTGTACCAAATATTAAGTTCTGCTTTTCTGATGTATTAAATACTTATGTCATGCAATAAAATGCAAATGAATTACTTAAAAATCATACAATGTGATTTTCTGGATTTTTGTTTTAGATTCCGTCTTTCACAGTTGAAGTGTACCTATGATAAAAATTACAGACCTCTACATGCTTTGTAAGTAGGAAAACCTGCAAAATCGGCAGTGTATCAAATACTTGTTCTCCCCACTGTGTATGTGTGTGTATATATATATATATATATACATATACACACACACACACACACATATATACATATATACATACATCCATACACACACATCCTTTTTTAAGTTATATTTCCCTTCATTACTTTCCAACCCCACCACCCCTTCCCCAATTGGAGTAAACTAGTGAACAACAACGCTTAGGCCTCTACTTCCAGCCCATACATACTATATACATTTTATGGACACAGTCAAATTCTACAATAATTATATTTTGTTTGTTTTTACTCCTGAACTTCCTCCAATCATTTTCATGATGTCAATCTGGTTTGCTTCTATATGCCATATTTTTCTAACTGTGCGCTTTCACAAAAGCTCTCAACCTATAACCTATATACTTATTATGGACACAGTATGCTTTACATTAGTTATCTTGTTGTTATTAGTTGTTGTTATTAGTCCCATCCTTCAGCTCCATTCAACACCTCCCATCTATCTCTTAACACCATCCATATTGGATTTCTATTTGCCATATATTTTTCAACTGTACTGTGATGTTTTACAAAAGTTCTGAACCTTTCTATTCTCATTGTTTCTACAGATCGTAAATTGAAAATAAACATTTTTGCTAAAAGTATGATTATATTATTGATCGATTGACTATGACTTTTCAGATCACCCAGTAGTGCTATCTGCAGGGTTAGCTCCAGGTAAATATTGCAATCCTTTAGCCATTCCTGGACCTGTGTCCAAAAACAAGCTACAAATGGACAGTACCAAAACAAATGATCTAATGATTCTGAGCTGGGAAGATTGTATCCCCCATATAAATAACATTCTATTGGTAGCAAGAATTGTATATAATAATTTAAATCGAAAAATTCTAAGTTTTGAATCCGGCGTCGTTTTGCGTATCAATTCATAAACAGTCATGGAATCGGTACGTCAAAAATCTCTTCCCAACTATTTTGCAATCTATATGGGACGGCTGTCAATCTTTTGGTCCTTAAATGAAACTGGTAAACTTTTTTATTTATCACAATTTTCTTTAACCAGTTATATTCTTTAATGCAAGGATATTGCTAGATAACCAATTGCAGAGAGCTGTAGCTCTCTATACTAGAGCTGTGTGATTCCTTGGTATGTATTACCACCTGGCGGACATAATGGGAATTGCATACACAAGGCGACTGGCCTGCCCTACAGTACACTAGCTAGTTAAGTGTAAAATAAAACCTTAAACAACTGTCACCCAGACCTTTCAAGAAATCAAATCAGTTTGTAATCATTTGTGTCCAAATAACTAAACCCTCTGCTTGCCCTGACAGATACTGTACTGTGACTGCTGCTGCTTTCTCTCCCCATGGAGACTGCTGCATGATCCTGCAGACCTCAACTCTCCTGTTCATTTACCCTGTTCTGATTCTGATTATGCTACTTTGTTTTGGATCTGTTCTCACTTGCTTGTTTTTCATTCTTCTTTCTTTCCGTTTTCTCTCTGCCTCTCTTCCCTCTTTTTGCACTCTCCTCTGTCCCTGCCTCCCTCCCTCTTCAGCCAGGCTATATCAGGGACCTGGTAAGTGGAAATGTGTTTGTCTTTGGGTCGTGATTGATTTACAGTAGCAGCAGTTCTTTAACATAGTTTCAATAGCTGGTTTGTTTCACCTTTAGTCTTAGGTGATACCCAGTCCAAGGGTGATTGCTAATTGTGTTTTGTCCGATCTTCATTTCCTCTCATTTCTCCTTCAACTACTAACACACTGTGAATGGGATAGTAAGATGGTAAAGTGTTGAGTCTGTCCTGAAGACCCAGGTCAGCATCTGTCTGTCTCCTCATCCCACTGACTCATACACTATGGGTTTGGGCTGCTCTGCTGCGAACACAACTTTAGGGCTGGAAAGAAACACACACACACTGGGGTGGGGAGGCACTTCATGAGCCATTAGTCTTAGACTGGCCTCTTGGGATCTCAACTGTTTGTTCATACTTTAGTTCGGTGACCTTGTGCCTTCCTATATTTATGGGGAGGTGTTGGGTGTCTTTGGGTTTGGGGGTTTATAGCATGGTTATAGTGTGGTGAGGGTGGGGCCATGTGTGCACAGTAGACCTATGTCTGTGTGTCTAGGGAAGGGCTGTTCAATTCCGGTCCTGGATGGCTGAAAAACGTAACTACCTGGTAGTTAATTGCACTCACCTGGTGTCCCAGGTCTGAATCAGTCCCTTGAAGGAGAGGATGAAAACCAGAAGTGTTTCGGCCCTCCAGGACTGACATTGAACATCCCTGGTCTAGGGCTTGGTTTCAGAGTGTTGGTATGTGTCGGTGTGACGTGTGTGTGTTCAACAGCCTTTGGATATGTGTTAATCAGATTTCGGCCCGGATTCTGGAGGCCCACCAGAACGTGGCCCAGATGAGTCTAATCGAGGCCAAGATGCGCTTCATCCAGGCGTGGCAGTCCCTACCCGAGTTCGGCATCACTCACTTCCTGGCCAAGTGAGTCCTCCTCTCTTCTCCAGAGCCTCTTCATACACCTCTTTATTGAAATAACAGACATCTTCCCCCATGTTTACAAGTCTCTGTGTCTCTCTGTATGCCTCTCTCGGTGTCTGTGTGTTTTTAGTCTTGTTGTTTTATGGCTAACAGAGATTTTATTGTCAGATACAAAAATGCATGGTTGAAATCCAATAAGCACATTACTTCCAATAACCACATCCCAAGCAGTGAGCTCACTTGGAATTCTCTGTCATTCCCAGATTTCAGGGCGGGAAGCGGGATGAGCTGATCGGCATCACCTACAACCGTCTGATCCGGATGGACGCCAACACCGGAGATGCCATCAAGACTTGGAGGTTCGCCAACATGAAGCAGTGGAACGTCAACTGGGAGATCAAGATGGTACGAATTTCAGCTTATAGACCAGGAAATAAACAGTTTTAGAGACAAAGCATTCAATACTCTAAACACAGTCACCGTCAATTTGTTTTAGCTTTATCGTCTTAACATGGCATTTCACACGGAAATCTTTGTTCTACTAAATTAATTGTCAGTAAAATCCTATGGTTTTGACTGTGTGATCACTCTGTGCATTAGGTGACGGTGGAGTTTGCAGATGAGCCCAGCCTGGCCTTCATCTGTGCGGAGGTGGACTGTAAGGTGGTACATGAGTTCATCGGAGGCTACATCTTCTTGTCCACGCGTGCCAAGGACCAGAACGAGTCTCTGGATGAGGAGATGTTCTACAAGCTGACCAGCGGCTGGGTCTGAGTCTGACTACCCTGTGCCAGGGGTCAGAGGTTAGGGGTCATTAGGGGAGGGAGGGTGGGGGCTAGATCTTATGAGGATTTTATTTGTTATATATTTTTGGTGGTTTTATTTTGGAACTGTGCTAAAGAGGCCGACACGGCCGCCCACTATCGTCATTGTTGTTAAAAAGCTGACACCCTTTATTTTTTGTTGCATTAACGCTGACAAAGGTATTTGTAAACACTAATATTTTGCGCAATGCTGCAGCCCAGATGATCTCTGAACTCCAACCCCTGCCTGTGGCTCCCCCATCGCCCACATTATTTGACAGGAAGTTGTTTTTTCCCATGACCCCTCTCCACTCCCCATCCCTCTCCAATGCACAGGGGACACCGGCCTCTTCCTCAAGCAGCGATCTCAAAGCTACGTCCATGAGAACCTATCACATCAGGAGACCTCTCCCTCCCAAAGACTCTTTCTAAATCCCTCCCCCTCTCTCTCTCCCCCCCTCTACTCCGACTCCCCTGAAGGAACTGATCAAATTGGCCCATCAGCCACTCCGCTACGGCGTCATCCTAATCCGACCAGACCACAAAATCATGTATCAGTGTTTATGAAGAATCACATTATTTATTTATCCCTGTTTTTGTTTTGCTGTTTTAATTAGTTTTTGAAGTGGCCTGTGGTTTGCCTTACATGCTACTCCCGTGATATGATACTCTTTTTAATTTATGCTGCAGAGTGCCACCTCACTCTCACGTATCGTACACCCAAGTATTTACTCCATTTTGTATAAATATAGGCAGTAGCAATCATCAAAGTATGAGTATCGGCAAAACAGCAACACACTTTTACTTTCTCAGCAGAGACAGGAAGTGATATGAGGTAATTTCCTTCCGTCATTAAGGAAAGGCTGAGGAACACATAGCTCATGGAGAAACTCTGGCACCGTGTCCTCTCCACCCAATGAAGGATTTTTCACTTTGATCTAACTAGTCCATATGAAGTCACATGTAAGCACTTCTCCAGTGTACATATTATCCTTTATGAATAAGCTGTAGTAGTTAAATTAATTTGTAGTTTTTGATGGTGTCTGAGCATACCTCCAGTGGTAATGTCCTCTCCGATGTGTTCAGAAACTCTATAGTAATCTGTGTGAAACACTACATACAACAGCTAACAAGTGTGCTTGAAGAGTTTAAAGAAGCCTTGGTGCACACCTACAGTAGTGCTTCCCTGTTGTCTGCATTAGTTAGTGTGTCAGCACAACAGGGTCTGAATGTCCTGTAATGTGTTCTGTAAACACCTAAATAACCATGCCTAGTTCCCATAGCTACCCTCAAGGTCAAAGATGTCAGTGTGGTGCTTAATCATCTAGAAAGGGTCACTCAAGGATACTCTTGTTTGAGAAGTTATTTTGATGGTTCATGTTCTAAAGCAATTACTGAAAATGCAAATTAGAATGTTATTGTCATGGAATATGTGGTGCCATGAAGGCTTGTTGTCCAAATGATGTGGCTCAGATACATGCTGCCAGCCACATAGGGTTGTCAGATGTCCACAGCATATAGGAAAGGCCTCGGCTCTGCCTTGAGACTCAGACCCTTGCCATTGCATTGTGTATGTATAGTACAGCTGGAGGGATACTACCAATAATAACAGCGTTCCCAAGTGCTGCCTACTCCTTTACATTATTGCCATTCTGTATCTTACACCGTATAGTATTATTATTCAGTACCGTTTTCATTGTTACGCACCAGCAATAGGTCACCAAGTTTGAAGAATGAATTATGCAAAGTCCGTGTTTCTTTTTTCCTCAGTATGAAGGAACGTTAAATGAAGTATTAGTTTTTTGTAACTAATGTAAAAACACAGGTTTTATTGAATTGTACAGTTGTTCTTTTGTTGCTGCTTTTGTTCTTGTTTTTTTGGAAGTGTATTTTTGTTTCCAGAAAAGAGGGGGGAAGCCATTGGTCAACATTGTGTAGAATGAAGATTTGTGCCTGCCAATGTTAGTCTTATTGAGTTTTTAACATGATCTATATATGAAGATAACACTAGTCTCAAACTCCAGGTTGGTAGGAGTTTAATGAAGATTTGTCTCACACTACATAGTATTATTATTTCTCAGAAACATTGATAAAATGGCTTTTCAATGTACTTTTTTTCTTGTTGCCTCTCCTATAAGCAGAATTACATTGCTATTTTCTATTCTTGCATTTTTTGGCACTGAATTTGCGCTCTAGATCTGTGAACTTTCACCAATGAAACATCCCTAGGCTACCAAACCCTTACTCTGTTCAGTGCCTTTAAAAATATATATCACTTAATTTTCTGATTTGATCACTATTGTAGCTTTTCTTTAAACAGTGTTTTTGGTATGAAGGAGACCCTTTTAGTTGAGGTAGACCCTGGAGTTTGAGACAAACGGGCGTAAATGAACTGAAGTAAGAGAAGCAAGCTTAGCCAATTTCTTTCCTCCTAGAATGTTTTTTTGTTGTTTTTTTTGTTTTTTGCCTCCAATGTCCAGAGCAGCAGTGCATGGCCTGCTGTTTTCAGACTGTAAAAAAATGCATTTATTTTAAGAAATAAAAATACTTTCTATTTAAGGACATTTGAGTTATAATATTGTACACAAATTGAGGATGTTATGTGTTAGTAGACCTTACTGTATGTTGATACAAACAGAACTAGTCATGACATGGACAGTGGGATGATATGCTGCTGAAAGTAGAAACCCTCCCCTTCCTGCTTATTCAAATATCTAGGCAGTGATGATCACAGATTACAGAGGACCAGAAATCATTCAGAATACCCACTTTAAAGCTACAGTATGTTATTTTCCGTATCTGCAACAATTGAAATGTGGGTGTTTCTTTCCTTCTCCACAAGAGGGCAGTATGTAACCACACTATCTTCCACCCACTGCTGCAGTCACTCACTGTTCTTAAAGCGGCTTCCATCGTTATCTGGCATCCGTCAGAAACAGAGTGGCAGATTGATGGGGAGATGAAATGAGCTCAGAATGTTACCGTCCGTCTTCCCAGGCTTTTGGCGCCCGATCCCCACCACACCACGGCAACCGTCCGTCTGTCACCTGCGGAGCAGCTATGGTGTGGAGGCGGAGGAGCCATGATGATGGTGCTCAGGCCACCTGGTGTCCGCAGTGTCTTGGCATCCTGTAGGGTGAGGTGGGGGGTGGTGGGGTGTGATTCAGACAGACGACAGAGGTGCGGGGTGGTGGGGTGTGATTCAGACAGGCGACAGAGGTGCGGGGTGGTGGGGTGTGATTCAGACAGACGACAGAGGTGCGGGGTGGTGGGGTGTGATTCAGACAGGCGACAGAGGTGCGGGGTGGTGGGGTGTGATTCAGACAGACGACAGAGGTGCGGGGTGGTGGGGTGTGATTCAGACAGGCGACAGAGGTGCGGGGTGGTGGGGTGTGATTCAGACAGGCGACAGAGGTGCGGGGTGGTGGGGTGTGATTCAGACAGGCGACAGAGGTGCGGGGTGGTGGGGTGTGATTCAGACAGGCGACAGAGGTGCGGGGTGGTGGGGTGTGATTCAGACAGGCGACAGAGGTGCGGGGTGGTGGGGTGTGATTCAGACAGACGACAGAGGTGCGGGGTGGTGGGGGAGTCAAGGAGGGTGTGTCAGAGGTGTAGACTGTTGGATTTATTCAGTCTCTTTGGATTATACATATGTGATCGTAGCTACATTATCTAAGAGAAAATGTTAACATGCGCATCACAATGCGGTATAGAAAACAAAATGTTTAGCATAATCTAGTCATGTTCATGGCATCACAGTGACATCTGAGCATGTAGTATCATTTATGGTTACATTTAAGATTGCTGCCTTGGGCCATTACATTCAGTATCCCTCTGTGAATAGAACTAAGTGCTTGTCCACTGGTATCCACCCTCCAGTCCAGTCCTGAGGTCAGATGAGATGTTACTGGTGTAGCTCTGGGTGCAATGAAATCTACAGGAACATCCTGTCCTTCTAAAAGACGTGTCAGAATGACAGAATCGGGATAAAACGAGGCATTCTTCTGCAGTAGCATTTACACAGTAAAGTACTATTCAAAGCACCCTTATTTTAATCAGGGGTAGTGGTTCAGACATGTATATCTGCATGGAGGATGTCACTCAACTAGCTAAAACAGTGTGTGTGTGTGTGTGTATCCTCAGTGTGCTTTTGTGTCAGTACCTCATTTCACAGCCAGCCGCATCCTTTCCCGATGTTCCCTTCCCTGGGTCTTTTCCAGAGGGAATATTCCCATTGTGTGTGATGCTAGCGGGGAAGTGCCTGTCCTCAACCAGTCGCCACTCCACCTAGTGTCACAGAATTCCTGTGACCTCCTGGTACAACAGGGTGACGTCCACCAAGATGAGGAGAGTAGAAGGAGTAGGAGTCTTAAAGAAAATCCACTCCGTTGAGTTTGATTGAATAGAATTACATTGAGTTTGAACTGATTGAATTCAATGACACACAGCAGACACGGAAGGTGTCTGACACCACCTGTAACTACTGAAGTGCCAGCTGTCTTCCACAGTTATTTACTTTCTAAGAAGCATATTTCCTCATGTTGTCTTCCTCATACCTGGTTAAGGTAATGGAACTGAGGGTTGATTCATTTGAACATGATTGATGATTTTTGGTTGAAGGGGTGGGTGCAACTCAATATTAGGAAGGTGTTCCTAATGTTTGGTATACTCAGTGTGTGTGTGTGTATATATATATATATATATATATATATATATATATATATATATATATATACACAATGATGTGTTTCCAATGTGTGCACTGCTTACATTTCCTCATGACTGCATCAACAGACCAACTATATTTGGCAGGTGACTATACTCCCAGTCTATCGGAAAAGTGCGTTTTCGAGACTGACTATAAATGCCTAAGGCATCTTTCTTCTCATATTGGGGAAACATGTTTTTATTTTTGTTCAGATGCTGCCTTAGTAAATACAGTGATTGCATTCTGGGCAATGAATGTATTATGTCCATCTCTTGTAGTATTTCTCCTTGCCTGTAGGGGGCACTCATTTCCTCTGAGGTGCCATGGGACCCAGGTGGTTAAGGCACATTAGTGCATGCACATCAAATTATGTCAAATCAATCATTAAACACTATTAACTTGTATTGAACTTCCTCAGCCTTGTTTGATTAGCAAGGACCATTGTTATGCACCAATGTACAGATGTCAGTGATGGACCTGTGGGATGGGACCAGAGCATGCTCCCTAAGTGTGAAGCTTGTACGTCATAAAGACTTAGAACATGTGCCAAAGGGTGTCCTCTCTGATGAGGTCACATGGTCAGATGGTGTTTATAGAGTTTGTATCATTTGCGGCCGGTCGTTACTTTCACACAGACACCGGCACACTGCGAACACCCCTCTACACACTCCCAAAGGATATTGCATATTTTCTTTGGATCAAATTCTAACTAAATATCACAAAATAAATTCCCAAGTCAAATCTGTATCTTGGTAGACAGTTTATAATCTCTCTAGTTGTGTTTACGGTCAGAGCCTCAAGGTATAATCCTCTCTCCCAGGGCAGGTTGCAGCTTCAGGCATTAGGACTCAAAATTGGCTCATTTGCATTACCGTCACCCCCGAAAGCCTCTCTTTAATTCTGTAAACTCTTGTTTCTCACCCGAGCTAATGCAGTCTGGAGCATTGACCTTATTTAAGTGGTCCTCTGTAGCTCAGCTGGTAGAGCACGGCGCTTGTAACGCCAAGGTAGTGGGTTCGATCCCCGGGACCACCCATACACAAAAATGTATGCACGCATGACTGTAAGTCGCTTTGGATAAAAGCGTCTGCTAAATGGCATATTATTATTATTATTATTATATTAAGAACATGGGAAACAGGTGTGAGGTTCAACAATGAGAGTCAGGGGAGCTGGGACCTGCCTGGCCCAAGGGGATTGTAGGATGTGGGAGCAGCGCTCCATTGACTAACGTTGCCTCCAGACATGGGCCTACATTACATGTTGTGTAAGAGTCGTAAAAAACATCAATATCAACACTAATCCACTGAGAACGGTAGCCAAGGGAGGATTAAAAATGTATGCAAATGATTTACGTAGCCTATTTCGTTATGTTTGGAAGAAAGTAGCTGTAGTAGACCAAGATGATTTTTTCTTCATTTATTTCTAAGGTCTAAACAGCCATGTCTGAGAGTTCTCAGCGAGATCTCTCTTAATTGTGTGTTGCCAAACGACATCACCTCAACACAATCAATTATAAATGTATTATTATCAATGATCTTGTCCTTGACAGATCACTGTGACAGGAGCCACCCACCCTCTGGGTCCAAATCTACCCTCTTCTAAGTCAGATCATCCATTTCCAAGTATCTATTGATTATGTATCTGCCGCTTCACATCTCTAACACCCCCCACCATAGAAACGTAATAGGCAATAAGCTCTGTCTCCACCATTCATCCCCGGGATCCAGCAGCCTGCGTCTGTCTCCACATTAGCCCCTGCAGTATAGATATGAGAACTTCCCAATGTGACACTCTCACTCTGACTGCAATAAAGCCCAAATTGGACTTTGGAAAATAGAATTGAATCCTCAGCTGCTTGTCATACCAAGGGGCTGTCTGGCCATTGATTGGGTAAATTAGCTGGCCGGCTGACGGTTATCTGACAGCAAAACAATAAAGAGCCAGGACTGATTGGGTTACTGTCTGCTGGGGACATGGGCAGACAAGGGTGGGATGTGTTGAAAATGAGGTCTCTGCAGTTGATACAGGGACTGCAGAGGAGAAGCCATCATATGAACTGCACTGTATAGATAGCGCAGATTTCTAAGGATCTCATTCGTCCCGGACCGTTTGATTGTGATAATGGATTGGTTCTTGTTAGCAGAGTGGGGTGGGGTGGGGTGGGGGGGGGGGGTTTGGAGAAGCTATTGGCCAGTTTTTTAGTTTTAGCCATGATGCTCCTGTACTGCCCGTGTCTGAGTGATGGAAGCTGGGAGAACAGGCCGTGGCTTGGGTGGTTGAGGTCCCTGATGATCTTCTTGGCCTTCCTGTGACACCTGGTGTTGTAGGTGTCCTGGAGGGCAGGCAGCGTGCACCCAATGGTGCGTTCGGCTGAGCGTACCACCCGCTGTAGTGCCTTGCGGTCAGCGGCTGTGGAGTTGCCGTACCAGGCTGTGATGCAGCCCGACAGTATTCTCTCGATAGTGTTCCTGTAGAACTCTGTGAGGGCCCTCGGGGACAGGACAAATGTATTCAGCCTCCTAAGGTTAAAGAGTTGCTGTCGTGCCTTCTTCACCACGGTGTCCGTGTGGTTTGACCAATTCAGCTCCTCTGAGATGTACGCAGAGGAACTTGATGTTTTTTACCGTCTCCACGACGGCCCCATTGATGAGGATGGGGCGTGCCCAGCCTGGTTCCTCCTGAAGTCCACAATCAGCTCCTTTGTTTTGCTGACGTTGAGGAAGAGGTTGTCTACCACACCGTCTGAGTGCCTACCTCCTTCCTGTAGGTCATCTCGTCGTTGTTGGTAATCAGGCTTACTATTGTCGTGTCGTCAGCGAACTTGATGATGGAGTTGGAACTATGTGAG